CTAAAGTAATTCCACTACCTAAAAACAGTAAAGCACTAACAGCTGCCCAATCAGTTTGCTGCCTGTTCTTAGTAAACTGACTGAGAGAATTGTGTTTGAACAAATACAATGCTATTTTTTTAAGAACAAGTTAACTACTGACTTTCAGCATGCATAAAGGGAAGGGTACTCAACTTGTACTGACTCTGATGACTGGCTAAAATCAATGGGTAATAAGATGGTAGTTGGAGCTGTATTGTTAGATTTCAGTGCAGCCTTTGATGTTATTGATCATAATTTGTTATTGGAAAAAAAAACTCACTTGTTATTGCTTTACAACACCTGCCATCACATGGTTGGAGAGTTACTTATCTAATAGAACTCTGAGAGTATTCTTCAATGTAAGCTTTTCTTACATCAGATATGTACAGTGCGGTGTCCCTCAGGGCAGTTGCCTTGGGCCGCTACTCTTCTCTGTTTTTTTACAAATGATTTGCCCCTGAAGCTAAAATAACTATGTATGCTGATGATTGCACACTACACATCAGCACCTACAGACAGTGAGCTCACTGAGACGCTTAGCAAGGAGTTACAGTCAATGTCAGAACAGGTCATTAAGAATAAACTGGTCTTAAATACATCTAAAACCAAAAGCATTATATTTGGTTCAAAGCATTCTCTTAGACGTAAACCTCAACTGGAGTTGTGCATAAAGGGTGTGACCATTGAACAAGTTGAAGAAGCTGAACTCCTAGTAGTAACATTGGATGGTCAGTTATCGTGGTCAAGTCACATTGACAAAGTTGTTGTGAAGATGGGGGAGAGGTATGTCTGTTATAAAAATATGTTCTGTGTTTTTGACACACAGATCAACTGTACTAGTTGTTCAGGCTCTGGTCTTGTCCCATCTTGATTACTGTCTGGTAATATGGTCAAGTGCAGCAAAGAAAAGACCTAGCAAAGCTGCAGCTGGCTCAAAACAAACCAGCATGCCTTTCCCTTAACTGCACACACAGAACTAACATCAACAACCGGCTTGATAGTCTTTCATGGTTGAGGGTTGAGGAGAAATTGACTACTTCTCTTCTAGTCTTTTTAAGAAACATTTGTGTGTTGAAAATGCCTAACCACTTGTGTGATCTATTTACATAAACTTCAAACAGACATACGATACATACCCCACCAGACACGCCACTATAGGTTTCTTCACGGCATCCAAATCAAAAACAGATTTAATTTAAATCTGTTCCCCATATACTGCTTAATGACCAGGGCCCAGAGGATAGTGCACTATATAGGGAATAGGGTGCCATTTGGGATGCAAACAGTGCTGTTTTAGTGCCTGTCCGAAGGATGGGTAAATACATGCTTGGCAATGGTATTCAGACGCACACACACACACACACACACACACACACACACACACACACACACACACACACACACACACACACACACACACACACACACACACACACACACACTCACTAGCCAGATGCCATCATGAGGTGTTCTAAAACCGGTTATATAATTGGTGTTATAGATGACTGTGCATCCTGTTTGCTCCAATGTAAACGGTTAATAACAACCGCTAATATCCAGTCTGCATGACAACTTCTGTCATTAGTTATTACATGCTACATAAGAGTCTATATACCAGATGTTATTACAAGGTGTTATATCATTTACCAACCTCTGTATCATATTATTACATTGAATGGAATGGTGGACGTCATAACCATGTCATATGCCCTTATAGAGTGTGCACAGAGACCTCAACTAAAGTGATATTCATTTGATGTGTTATAAAAACCAGTTACGAATGTGCTTATACCACAGGATGAGTTGAGAGTATCACAAAACTTTACCATTCAAAGGATCTCAAAGAAACATGGGCAAATGGGAGACAGATGTACTTAGGACACATTATAATACCAACAACTTGTTAAAAAAAAAAACTTTAAAATGTTGAAACGAAATGGAAGCGAATACAATTTTTACAACAACATCAACGTTGCTGTGGCACAATAGGATTTGTGACAGCTGTGAAAAAAAGGAAGATGTGCCGTCTACAGTAACAACGACAGATAGCTTAGCTATAGCTCTCGCTCTCAGCTCTCACTCGTTCGCTCACTCGCTATCTCTCTCTCTCTCAGCTCTCAGCTCTCGCTCTCTCTCTCTCTCTCGCTCTCTACCAGCCTTTCTCCCTCCCTCCCTCCCTCCCTCCCTCCCTCCCTCCCTCTTCAGAGACAGTAAGTAATTAAAGTCAGCTATAAAACCATGAATAGCTCCAAAAATGAATCACGTTAAATCTGACTTATACCATTTCAGGGGAATGCCTCTCACCCTGGTTTCACTGTGAGCTGGCAGGCCTCCTGGCAGGGCTGAGCAGCCATAGCGTGTCATGCTATCATGCCACTGTGCCACAGATTGGATCCATGCTACGCTAGTAGTCATGTTGACTTCAGCGCCTGTAACAACTCCCTACCCCCCCCCCCCCCCCCCTCCCTCCTTATTCCACCCCAGGGTAAGTGCACTGTCGCTGGGCTGAAGCTTCTAGTGAAGCCCACACGTGACCCAACCAGCCCCAAGAGAGAAGGGAGAGAAATGGATAGGGAGAGGGGAAAGAGAGACGGGGAGAGAGAGACGGGGAGAGACGGAGACAGAGGATGAAAGAGAGAGAGGGAGGGACCTCAGTGTTGTCATAGCAACAGCGCCGGCTTAGAGTGTAGTTCATTAGGATCCCCATTAGCTACTGCACATGCAGCAGATACTCTTCCTGGGGTCCACATAAAACGTACAAATACATCACATTTGCACAGAACAGTTATAGACAAAAACAACATTACATAAAATAAAATAAAAATAGGAGTTATATATTGGAAAGACAAGAGACAACAAAAATACTATTTACACACTATTCATACAAGAGTATTTAGTCAGCCACCAATTGTGCAAGTTCTCCCACTTAAACATTTTCATCATAGGTACACGTCAACTATGACAGACAAATTGAGAAAAAGAAATCCAGAAAATCACATTGTAGGATTTTTAATGAATTTATTTGCAAATTATGGTGGAAAATAAGTATTTGGTCACCTACAAACAAGCAAGATTTCTGGCTCTCACAGACCTGTAACTTCTCCTTCTTTAAGAGGCTCCTCTGTCCTCCACTCATTACCTGTATTAATGGCACCTGTTTGAACTTGTTATCAGTATAAAAGACACCTGTCCACAACCTCAAACAGTCACACTCCAAACTCCACTATGGCCAAGACCAAAGAGCTGTCAAAGGACACCAGAAACAAAATTGTAGACCTGCACCAGGCTGGGAAGACTGAATCTGCAATAGGTAAGCAGCTTGGTTTGAAGAAATCAACTGTGGGAGCAATTATTAGGAAATGGAAGACATACAAGACCACTGATAATCTCCCTCGATCTGGGGCTCCACGCAAGATCTCACCCCGTGGGGTCAAAATGATCACAAGAACGGTGAGCAAAAATCACAGAACCACACGGGGGGACTGGGTGAATTACCTGCAGAGAGCTGGGACCAAAGTAACAAAGCCTACCATCAGTAACACACTACGCCGCCAGGGACTCAAATCCTGCAGTGCCAGACGTGTCCCCCTGCTTAAGCCAGTACATGTCCAGGCCCGTCTGAAGTTTGCTAGAGTGCATTTGGATGATCCAGAAGAGGATTGGGAGAATGTCATATGTTCAGATGAAACCAAAATAGAACTATTTGGTAAAAACTCAACATGTCGTGTTTGGAGGACAAAGAATGCTGAGTTGCATCCAAAGAACACCATACCTACTGTGAAGCATGGGGGTGGAAACATCATGCTTTGGGGCTGTTTTTCTGCAAAGGGACCAGGACGACTGATCCGTGTAAAGGAAAGAATGAATGGGGCCATGTATCGTGAGATTTTGAGTGAAAACCTCCTTCCATCAGCAAGGGCATTGAAGATGAAACGTGGCTGGGACATTCAGCATGACAATGATCCCAAACACACCGACCGGGCAACGAAGGAGTGGCTTCGTAAGAAGCATTTCAAGGTCCTGGAGTGGCCTAGCCAGTCTCCAGATCTCAACCCCATAGAAAATCTTTGGAGGGAGTTGAAAGTCTGTGTTGCCCAGCGACAGCCCAAAAACATCACTGCTCTAGAGGAGATCTGCATGGAGGAATGAGCCAAAATACCATCAACAGTGTGTGAAAACCTTGTGAAGACTTACAGAAAACGTTTGACCTGTGTCATTGCCAACAAAGGGTATATAACAAAGTATTGAGAAACTTTTGTTATTGACCAAATACTTATTTTCCACCATAATTTGCAAATAAATTCATAAAAAATCCTACAATGCGATTTTCTGGATTTTTTTTCTTCTAATTTTGTCTGTCATAGTTGACGTGTACCTATGATGAAAATTACAGGCCTCTCTCATCTTTTTAAGTGGGAGAACTTGCACAATTGGTGGCTGACTAAATACTTTTTTCCCCCACTGTATATACATATTCGTATATACAGTCAAATTAGATCTTTAGAAAGAAGAGAGGCACTGTGATACAATTATGTTTTTATATATATTTTTAAAGCTAAACTTGCTTTTTGCCCTGAGTAACCTCTGGTGGCAGAGCATTCCACGATGACATGGCTCTATACATGAGAGAGAGAGAGAGAGAAAGAGAGAGAGAGAGAGAGAGAGAGAGAGACAAAGAGAGAGACAGACAGACAGAAAGAAAGAGACAAAGAGAGAGACAGACAGACAGAAAGAAAGAGACAAAGAGAGAGACAGACAGACAGACAGAAAGAAAGAGACAAAGAGAGAGACAGACAGACAGACAGAAAGAAAGATTAACAGAACAAGATGAACTCCACAACCCCAGAGAGAGAGCGGGACAGCTGCTTTATCATCTCTAAACATTGTGGTACGCCACATGGTAATTCAATTCAATAAAACCCTCAGTCTCACAGAGCGAACTCCAAAGGAGACGCCACTTCAAATCATAGCAGATATACCTTGGAGTACTCCGCACCGTGCTTCTCCTTGTACCCATTCCGACAGACGGTGTAATTGTAAAAGCGGGAATTTTTTACGAGCCCCACCCACTCACGCCACCCAGGAGGGATGTAGCTGCCGTTGTACTCGTTCAGGTACTTCCCGAAGAACGCTGAGAGAGGAGACAGGGAAGATAAGAGTTAGAGAAACGTTATTGTCAACGCAATGTGGACATTTTGTCTTTGGCTTCACACACAAAAAAAATTCTGAACACATCATCAAGAGCACCTCATCCTCGAGATCACTCAAATAAACTGTTCAAATATAGGGACGGGAGGAGGATCATAAATGTCTGTTAAAAAACCTGTAAGTATTTTCTCTAAAGCTGGTGATACACCAGTGTTTCTCATAACCATAGAGTAGGGTCATGAATGTGATTTGGCTTGTTAAATATCAGCAAATTTTTTCCCTTTACCTTTCTCTGACCCCTAATAAAACCTCCTCCCTAGGAACCATGTACCTGGAGCTGTCAGTAGGTTCCTAGGGGGGAGGAGGAGGTGTTATTAGGGTCAGAGAAAAGGTAAAGGCCCATTCAGACACAACAGGGAAAAATGAGCCTGACATGGGAACACAGGGGAGAGGACACTACATTTTTTTTCCTTATCAAGTTCCTGTATTATAACAATAGAAGCTATAAAAGTTCCATAAATGCTCTTACCTGTCCTGTATCCTGTGTTGTTGAGGTAGACTGCGAAGGAACGTGGTTCATGCTGAGCCTGCCAGGACGGTGAGGAACAGTTCTCATTGTTGGTGTATGTGTTGTGATTGTGAACATACTTCCCTGTCAGCATGGACGAGCGAGACGGACAGCACATGGGCGTGGTCACAAAGGCGTTGGTGAATGAGGTGCCTCCATCCTCCATTATCTTACGAGTCTTATTCATCACCTGGAGAGAACCTGGAGAGGAGGAAGAGGATGGAGAGGAGGATGATGGAGAGGAGGAGGATGGAGAGGATGAGGATGGAGAAGAGGATGGAAAGGAGGAGGATGGAGAGGAGGAGGAGGATGGAGAGGAGGAGGATGAAGAGGAGGAGGAGGATGAGAGGAGGAGGGGTGACTGAGAGGAGGAGGAGGATGAAAGGCGGAGGATAGAGAGGTGAGAGGCTTCTTTCTTGGAATTCTCGAGCTTTTGCGTCGGAGGAGGCTAGGAGGAGGCTTTTCGCTCTTGCGCTTCCCTCTAGAGGAGGGCATGGTTACTAAATACCAAAAATTATTGTCTTTCTTGCATTTTTTTTTTCTTTGATTTTTGTGTTTGAATTCCCTGGACTGTAGTCAGCGCATAACAAATTGCAGTCTTGACAAATTGTCTAATTAAACCACGTTTTCCCTCCAACAGTTTTTATGCGAGTTAAGTCATACCGTATAAAAAAAAAATCACGTCATCTGTGTTTCGGTGTTTAAAAGAAAATGCAGACAGATAATTTGTTCGTTCGACATTGTGGGATCTTTTTGTGTCTGTAAAATGAATTATGCTAGAAATGGTGGTGGAAACGCCTTCATGCGCAAATATTAATATAATAACCATCATATCGAAGTAAACTTGGAGTCACGCGATGCTATGTTGTGTGGTCCTCCCAGTACAACTCGGGAAACCATGCAGTTTATTAGGCTACAGATTAAATAAGTTACTCCACAGGGTTCAAAGTGCACAGCGATCTTTATACTCCTTTCCGATAAATATAGAGGGTCTGATTCTGGTGGCATGATGATCGATGCTTGACTGCCATTTGACAAATACAAATATTCATAATAATCTCATCATGTAGACTAGCCTACAGTATCTGTGAGCTGTTGGCTAAAACTCACTGTGCCAAGACCGGAGTAGGCACATTGGCTATTTAATGCAACAGATTCGGTGACAAAACTATAGGTAGTCTCCCTCCCATCCCGGAGGACCTGAGCCCTAGGACCATGCCTCAGTACTACCTGGCCTGATGACTCCTGGCTGTCCCCAGTCCACCTGGTCGTGCTGCTGCTCCAGTTTCCACTGTTCTGCCTGCGGCTATGGAACCCTGACCTGTTCACCGGACGTGGTACCTTGTCCCAGACCTGCTGTTTTCAGCTCTCTCTCTCTACCGCACCTGCTATTTCAACCTCTAAATGCCCGGCTATGAAAAGCCAAGTGACATTTACTCCTGATGTACTGACCTGTTGCAGCCTCTACAACCACTGTGACTATTATTTGACCCTGCTGGTCATCTATGAACGTTTGAACATCTTGAAGAAAAATCTGGCCTTAATGGCCATGTACTGTTATAATCCCCACCCGGCACAGCGAGAAGGGGACTGGCCACCCCTCAGAGCCTGGTTCCTCTCTAGGTTTCTTCCTAGGTTTCTGCCTTTCTAGGGAGTTTTTCCCTAGCCATCGTGCTTCTACATCTGCATTGCTTGCTGTTTGGGGTTTTAGGCTGGGTTTCTGTATAGGACTTTGCAAGCAGGCTTGTGCACAGATTGGGTCCGAGCACCTGCTCCTTTTCCCTCCCACTTGCCAAATGCCCTTTTGGGTGTGTCACGATCGTCGTATACAGAGGAGGACCGTAGGCTTGGTGCGTGGAGCAGGGACAGGCCGGACCGGGCTGGCGACGCACACCGTAGGCTGGGTGCGTGGAGCAGGGACAGGCCGGACCGGGCTGGCGACGCACACCGTAGGCTTGGTGCGTGGAGCAGGGACAGGCCGGACCGGGCTGTGGAGACGGATAGGAGACCTGGAGTGAAGAGCTGCCACTCTGTGTGAGGCATCAGCACAGGACGTACAGGGCTGTGTACCCGTACTGGCATAACAGCACGTGACACTGGCGCAGGATATCCGGGACCGAGGAGAGGCACTGGAGGCCACGAGCGCTGAGCCGGCACACTCCGTCCTGGCTGCATGCCCACCTTCGCACAACACGTGCGGGGTGCTCGCACAGGACGTACCGGACTATGCCGGACCACTCGTGGCACAGTGCGCAGCTCCGCATACCGCGGAACCTGCCCAGTCTCATGCTGCCATGCCTGAGTACGGGGAGTTGGCTCTGCTCTCCATCCAGGCTCCGCCAACCTGCCTTCTGGCCCCCAAAACCCGGTGGCCTCCTCTCCTAATCTCCCAATTCGCCCTGTGGCAGCCTCCTGCTGCCCAGTCGCCCATGCCGTGTGCCCCCCCCCTAAACAATTATTGGGGGTGCCTCTCGCCTGTCCGACCACGGCCCGGTTGACGCCGCTTCTCCACTCCTGCCTGGGTCTCCCCCTTCATCGCCTTCCGGTACTGGACGGCCTCCTCCTTCGTAATCTGCCCCCAGCCGAGGAGGACATCCACCAGCGTTACCTCCTGCGTGTGTTCCTGGACACGCTGCTTGGTCCTGGTTTGGTGGGATCTTCTGTCACGATCGTCGTATACAGAGGAGGACCAAGGCGCAGTGTTGCAGGCAAACATACTCTTTATTAGAGACACGATCAAAAACAACAAAACGATAACGTGACAGTTCACGGTCTAACACAAACAGACTAGAAACAAGATCCCACAACATTTGTGGGCAAATAGCCTCTATAAATATGGCTCCCAATCAGAGACAACCAGCCACAGCTGACACTCGTTGCCTCTGATTGGGAACCACTCTGGCCAACACAGAAATACAACCTATAGAATATCCACACCCTGGCTCAACATATAGAGTCCCAGAGCCAGGGTGTGACAGGGTGGAGGAATATACAGTTGAAGTCTGAAGTTTACATACACCTTAGCCAAATATATTTAAACTCCGTTTTTTCACAAATCCTAGTAGAAATTCCCTGTCTTAGGTCAGTTAGGATCACCACTTTATTTTAAGAACGTGAAATGTCAGAATAATAGTAGAGAGAATGATTTATTTCAGCTTTTATGTCTTTCATCACATTCCCAGTGGGTCAGAAGTTTACATACACTCAATTAGTATTTGGTAGCATTGCCTTTAAATTGTTTAACTTGGGTCAAACGTTTTGGGTAGCCTTCCACAAGCTTCCCACAATAAGTTGGGTGAATTTTGGTCCAGTCCTCCTGACAGAGCTGGTGTAACTGAGTCAGGTTTGTAGGCCTCCTTGCTCGCACATGCGTTTTCAATTCTGCCCACAAATGTTCTATAGGATTGAGGTCAGGGCTTTGTGATGACCACTCCAATACCTTGACTTTGTTGTCCTTAAGCCATTTTGCCACAACTCTGGAAGTATGCTTGGGGTCATTGTCCATTTGGAAGACCCATTTGCAACCAAGCTTTAACTTCCTGACTGATGTCTTGAGATGTTGCTTCAATATAACCACATAATTTTCCTTCCTCATGATGCCATCTATTTTGTGAAGTGCACCAGTCCCTCCTGCAGCAAAGCACCCCCACAGCATGATGCTGCCACCCCCGTGCTTCACGGTTGGGATGGTGTTCTTCGGCTTGCTAGGCACCCCCTTTTTCCTCCACATAACGATGGTCATTATGGCCAAACAGTTCTATTTTTGTTTCATCAGACCAGAGGACATTTCTCCAAAAAGTACAATCTTTGTCCCCATGTGCAGTTGCAAACCGTAGTCTGGCTTTTTTATGGAGGTTTTGGAGCAGTGGCTTCTTCCTTGCAGAGCGGCCTTTTAGGTTATGTCGATATAGGACTCGTTTTACTGTGGATATAGATACTTTTGTACCTGTTTCCTCCAGCATCTTCACAAGGTCCTTTGCTGTTGTTCTGGGATTGAGTTGCACTTTTTGCACCAAAGTACATTCATCTCTAGGAGACAAAATGCGTCTCCTTCCTGAGCGGTATGACGGCTGCGTGGTCCCATGGTGTTTATACTTGCGTACTATTGTTTGTACAGATGAACGTGGTACATTCAGGCATTTGGAAATTGCTCCCAAGGATGAAACATTTTTTTTCTGAGGTCTTGGCTGATTTCTTTTGATTTTTTCATGATGTCAAGCAAAGAGGCACTGAGTTTGAAGGTAGGCCTTTAAATACATCCACAGGTACACCTCCAATTGACTCAAGTGATGTCAATTAGCCTATCAGAAGCTTCTAAAGCCACAACATCATTTTCTGTGATTTTCTAAGCTGTTTAAAGGCACAGTAAACTTCTGACCCACTGGAATTGTGATACAGTGAATTTAAGTGAAATTATCTGTCTATCAACAATTGTTGGAAAAATTACTTCTGTCATGCACAAGGTAGATGTCCTAACCGACTTGCCAAAACTATACTTTGTTAACAAGAAATTTGTTGAGTGGTTGAAAAACGAGTTTTAATGACTACAACATAAGTGTATGTAAACTTCCGACTTCAACTGTATACAGTATATATACAGTGAGAGAAAAAAGTATTTGATCCCCTGCTGATTTTGTATGTTTGCCCACTGACAAAGACATGATCAGTCTATAATTTTAATGGGAGGTTTATTTGAACAGTGAGAGACAGAATAACAACAAAAGAATCCAGAAAAACGCATGTCAAAAATGTTATAAATGGATTTGCATTTTAATGAGGGAAATAAGTATTTGACCCCTATGCAAAAAATGACTTAGTACTTGGTGGCAAAACCCTTGTTGGCAATCACAGAGGTCAGACATTTCTTGTAGTTGGCCACCAGGTTTGCACACATCTCAGGAGGGATTTTGTCACACTCCTCTTTGCAGATCTTCTCCAAGTCATTAAGGTTTCGAGCCTGACGTTTGGCAACTCGAACCTTCAGCTCCCTCCACAGATCTTCTATGGGATTAAGGTCTGGAGACTGGCTAGGCCACTCCAGGACCTTAATGTGCTTCTTCTTGAGCCACTCCTTTGTTGCCTTGGCCGTGTGTTTTGGGTCATTGTCATGCTGGAATACCCATCCACGACCCATTTTCAATGCCCTGGCTGAGGGAAGGAGGTTCTCAACCAAGATTTGACGGTACATGGCCCCGTCCATCATCCCTTTGATGCGGTGAAGTTGTGCTGTCCCCTTAGCAGAAAAACACCCCCAAAGCATAATGTTTCCACCTCCATGTTTGACGGTGGGGATGGTGTTCTTGGGGTCATAGGCAGCATTCCTCCTCCTCCAAACACGGCGAGTTGAGTTGCTGCCAAAGAGCTCGATTTTGGTCTCATCTGACCACAACACTTTCATCCAGTTCTCCTCTGCATCATTCAGATGTTCATTGGCAAACTTCAGAGGGGCCTGTATATGTGCTTTCTTGAGCAGGTGGACCTTTCGGGCGCTGCAGGATTTCAGTCCTTCACGGCGCAGTATGTTACCAATTGTTTTCTTGGTGACTATGGTCCCAGCTGCCTTGAGATCATGGCGATGGTCTTGTAGCCCATTCAAACCTTGTGTAGGTCTACAATCTTGTCCCTGACATCCTTGGAGAGCTCTTTGGTCTTGGCCATGGTGGAGAGTTTGGAATCTGATTGATTGATTGCTTCTGTGGACAGGTGTCTTTTATACAGGTAACAAACTGAGATTAGGAGCACTCCCTTTAAGAATGTGCTCCTAATCTCAGCTCGTTACCTGTATAAAAGACACCTGGGAGCCAGACATCTTTCTGATTGAGAGGGGGTCAAATACTTATTTCCCTCATTAAAATGCAAATCTATTTATAACGTTTTTGACATGCGTTTTTCTGGATTTTTTTGTTGTTATTCTGTCTCTCACTGTTCAAATATATATATTATTCTGTTTTTGTTGTTGTTGTTCTGAACCCATTGCCCCTAAGTCGTCGTTGGCACCCCACACCCGGTCGATTGGACTGCCCTGTATGGAGCTCGTGTGCACCCGATTGTGCCTTTTTCTCAGTTTGCAGGCATCGAAACATGCATCGCTTGAGATGCGGTCACCGGTCAAGTGTGTGTAGTAACTAGCAAGCTACCTAGTTTAAATATCAACAGTACTGCCCATAGCAGAATTACATTTGATTTCCATCATCAACAATATTAGGGTCTGTTTCGCTGATAGCCTACACCAGGGTTCTTCAATTCCGGTCCTGGAGGGCCGAGACACCTCTGTTTTTCATCCTCTCCTTCTAATCAGGGGCTAATTCAGACCTGGGACACCAGGTGAGTGCAATTAACTACCAGGTAGAAATAAACAGAATTGAAGAACCCTGGCCTACACGCATCAATGATCAGCTGGTAGCTACCTACCCTCTCTTGCTAAGGCACTACAACTAGCTTGCTTACAATTTGTGATGAGTGAGCGTGTTGTCGCAGAAATCAATAAGCCTATGCTGAAAAATGCACATCTTTTCGCGACAGACTCATTTAGCATGTTATGAATTTCAGGATATTCATTGTGAAAGTAAAAAGCACCTTCCCCTTTGAAAGGTCTGTGCACGGCCCTGGTAAGCAGTAATCATGATCCATTATGCATGCTGTGAACACAAACAAACCCTGCACCGCACAGCATCTCTAAGCCAGATGTCTGTTTGGGCTTATTTATGTCTTCAATTTAATATTACATGTCTGGGAGACTATGCTAATTATTGAGAGAGAGAGAGAGAGAGAGAGAGAGAGAGAGATGATTCATACAGATAAGGAAGCTCTTCCAACATGTAGAGCACAGGACCACCTCCAGAGCTCCAGGGGGTCAGTCCATCATTCTTACCCAGCTCTGTGTCCTGATCGTCGGTCATGATGAGGATGATGTTGGGCCTGATGTTCCTGCGGTCCCTCTGTATGCGTCCCCTGAGGCCTCCCTGGGCTCTGGTGGTGCTGACGGCTGAACAGCCCTGGTCCCAACCCAGGGACACAAGGCCCAGCCAGGTCACACACACCAATAGCATGATGGAGGGATCGATGGAGGGTGTCACTTACTCACAGACACCCACTGGAGCCCCTACAGCTGGGGAGGAGTCTGAGGAGAGAGAGAGAGAGAAAGAGAGAAGAGGACTTGTTATGAATCAATCAATCATGTTTATTTTATAAAGCCCTTTTTACACCAGCAGTTTAACTTTTTTTTTACCTGGCTTATACCCCAAAGAGCAAGCCAACCAGAAGCACAGTGGCTAGGAAAAACTCCCTAGAAGAAAAGATGCAGCATTAAGGTTATTAAAGGTCCTGTGTAGTTCAGTTGGTAGAGCATGGTGTTTGCAACGCCAGGGTTGTGGGTTCGATTCCCACGGGGGGCCAGTATGAAAATAAAATAAAAATGTATGCACTCACTAACTGTAAGTCGCTCTGGAAAAGAGCGTCTGCAATGTGACTCAAATGTAAATAGCTGGGTGATTTTATATTCGTTTTTATTTCTATTCGTTTTTAGATTTTTATTTCAAGCTTAGCTTGTTAGTTTTCAGACTTACTTTACTAGTTTTTATTTAGTTTGAGTTTCATGAAATAATTTCTATTTAGTTGTTATATTTAGTTGTAGTGTTAGGGACAGAAAGTGGCCTATGCGTGGGAGGCTAGGATGTCACTTCATGCACTGAGGGTGTACAGAATCTGATCTACAGAATCTGATCTACAGAATCTGATCTACAGTATCTGATCTACAGAATCTGATCTACAGAATCTGATCTACAGAATCTGATCTACAGTATCTGATCTACAGAATCTGATCTACAGTATCTGATCTACATAATCTGATCTACAGAATCTGATCTACAGAATCTGATCTACAGTATCTGATCTACAGCATCTGATCTACAGTATCTGACCTGAGTTGACTTCATCGATGTCATAATATCATCTTGACCCTGACCCAAGCTCATCAAGCGCAGAGGGGGGGGGGGGGGGGGGGGGGAATGGGGCGGAGGGGGGGGAGGCGGTATGGAGTAAGGAACCACAATGGGGTGACACAGATGGAAGTGGGAGAGAGGGAGGGGGGACAGGACAGCGTACATTAAAACCCCCATGCCACTGTCGCCATTCACAAATGTACACTGTGTTATCCTAGCCTCCCCTCTCGCAGGGAAACAGAGGTAGGGAAACAGAGGCAGGGAAACAGAGGCAGGGAAACAGAGGCAGGGAAACAGAGGCAGGGAAACAGAGAAAGGGAAACAGAGGCAGGGAAACAGAGAAAGGGAAACAGAGGCAGGGACACCCAGTGGGTGTCTGACAGTGGGGGATGGCCAGGATCAGGTGTGGTAGAGACACCATTTAGTTCCAGTTCATTAGGTCACAATGGAGAGCAGAATGGTGCCACTCAGCAAGATGGCCGCCCAGAAGGCCCCCTGTCACTGGGAGATGGCGCTGGCATTGGTCGTCATGGTTCACCTGTCCTTCCTCACACCCACAGGCTATTACAATGGGGACTGGCTGAGCAGTAGTTTATTCAAGGTTTTTTAATCAATGTATACCGTCCCCACAAGTCCACATATATTTATTGAACCTTTATTTAAGCAGGGAGTCCCATTGAGACCAATGTCTTTTGCACAGGAGCTAAAGCCATCCAGTTTACCCATAGGCTGTGTACCAATACCATTCCTTTTCTTCTTTCCGTCATGATCATCAATAAGTAAAAGGACCAAAGGTTTCCTTTTCAGCTTCTACAATGTGGTCATTGTCTTTCATCCTAGCTAGCTGGCGTCTGTCGGTCCAAAACACATCACAGCTACACTGACCATAGACCCACATCAGCTAAACACACTAAATCATGTTAGCCTGAATTTTAGTTTGTGGTTCCCTCTAAATATAATCTGTGGTGTTTTAAAGGGAAATAATTAACTATGCTTGCGTTCAATGGGACCCTATTCCCTACAAAATGCACAACTTTTGAACAGGGTCCTGTTCAAAAGTAGTGCACTATATAGGGAATAGGGTGCCATTTGTCAGGGACAGCCTGCCAAGTCATCCTCACAGTATTTCAGACAGGCAGTGTCCGGGACAGCCTGCCCTGTCATTCTCACAGTATTTCAGACAGGCAGTGTCCGGGACAGGCTGCCCTGTCATTCTCACAGTATTTCAGACAGGCAGTGTCCGGGACAGGCTGCCCTGTCATTCTCACAGTATTTCAGACAGGCAGTGTCCGGGACAGGCTGCCCTGTCATTCTCACAGTATTTCAGACAGGCAGTGTCCGGGACAGCCTGCCCTGTCATTCTCACAATATTTCAGACAGGCAGTGTGACCCTAACACAGTCAGCTAGCTAGCAGATCTAACACAGTCAGCTAGCTAGCAGATCTAACACAGTCAGCTAGCTAGCAGATCTAACACAGTCAGCTAGCTAGCAGATCTAACACAGTTAGCTAGCTAGCAGATCTAACACAGTCAGCTAGCTAGCAGATCTAACACAGTCAGCTAGCTAGCAGATCTAACACAGTTAGCTAGCTAGCAGATCTAACACAGTTAGCTAGTGTCGTAGTAAATATATAATGTTATAGCTTGGTCTGACTAAAATCTTGTGCATGACCCATTTTAATGTTAGGAGCTTGTTTTCAATCAATGCTGTTCCTATGCAAGAACAATGGACAGAGCCAATATCTTCTCAAGGACAAACACCCACGCCACAGGCCACAATCTGGTTGCTCACCACGAGTCTTTCCTTTGAGAACATACACACATTCACACACACATCTCCATGCATACGCACACTCATTCTCAACCCCCCCTTCTACTGGTCGGGTGTCAAGGGCAGAGGACTCTGCTGTGCACCAATGGGGCTTCTGCTCTGGACAGAGCAGACCCGCCTCCTACGCCTCGGGAACCAATCAAAGGACTAGAAGAAGGACCCCTTTCTTTATGTTGCATTGTATAAAGTAATGCTGTAAACTCTGTTTTTGATCCTTCTCAGCTGACACCATTAGCGTGGCATATGATTAGGTCCATGCATGTTAATTAGCAGGATCCCATGCATGTAGCTCGAGCAGTACCAGCTATCTCTGTGTTTAATAAACTGCCTTTTGCTTAAGCATATTCCTCTCCGTCTAGCGTCGTTGGTTTTGTACTTTCCTCTCCTTATGGTTCCACCAACACTAGCTAGCAGATCTAACACAGTCAGCTAGCTAGCAGATCTAACACAGTCAGCTAGCTAGCAGATCTAACACAGTTAGCTAGCTAGCAGCCCTGAAGGGCGACTGGAATTCCAGCGCTAATAGAATGTGATTATACTTGGTCATGGGATGGGGAGCATATTGATGGCATCCTATTCCCTATGTAGTGCACTACTTTAGACCAGGGCCCATAGGGCTGTTATCAAAAGTAGTGCACTATATAAGGAATAGGGTGCCGTTCGGGACACAAACAGGATTCCTCTGAACGTCCCTTCTGTCACCCTCTTCTCCCTTTAACTCAAATCAATTTAACCTGATTCACTGTTATTTAACCGGATTCACTGTTAATTCACTGCTGATTTACCCTGATTCACTGTTAATTTGACCTGATTCACTATTAATTTGACCTGATTCACTGTTAATTTGACCTTCATTCCAGTTCATTAGGTCACAATGGAGAGCAGTATGGTGCCACTCAGCAAGATGGCCGCCCAGAAGGCCCCCTGTCACTGGGAGATGGCGCTGGCATTACAGCGTCATGGTCGTCATGGTTCACCTGTCCTTCCTCACACCCACAGGCTATTACAATGGGGACTGGACTGAGCAGTAGTTTATTCAAGGTTTTTTAATCAACCCATCAATGTATACCTTCCCCACAATTCCACATATATTTATTGAACCTTTATTTAATCAGGGAGTCCCATTGAGACCAATGTCTTTTGCACAGGAGCTAAAGCCATCCAGTTTACCCATAGGCTGTGTACCAATACCATTCCTTTTCTTCTTTCCGTCATGATCATCAATAAGTAAAAGGACCAAAGGTTTCCTTTTCAGCTTCTACAATGTGGTCATTGTCTTTCATCCTAGCTAGCTGGCGTCTGTCGGTCCAAAACACATCACAGCTACACTGACCATAGACCCACATCAGCTAAACACACTAAATCATGTTAGCCTGAATTTTAGTTTGTGGTTCCCTCTAAATATAATCTGTGGTGTTTAATCAGAGCGCCGGAGGGGAGCAATGGGAGGAGACGTGACAAGAGAACATAGGACAAAGGAAAGGAAAGGGCAAACATTTTACAGACTCAGGGTCTGTCCCAAATGGCACCCTATGCTCTATGGGCCCTCGTCAAAAGTAGTGCACTAAAATGGGAATAGGGTTCCATTTGGGATGCAGAAACACAGCTATTTCTAACATTCAAGTGAAGCCTCAACAATGATGCCCACTCATCTGAGACCCCCCCATCCCCCCTTAACACACACACACATTTGTTTATTTGGATCCCCATTAGTTTTTACAAAAGCAGCAACTACTCCAAAACATTCCTGTGTTACCATGAGAGACATTTACGTCATTTAGCAGACGCTCTTATCCAGAGCGACTTACAGTTAGTGCATACATTATTCTTTTCATACTGGCCCCCCGTGGGAATCGAACCCACAACCCTGGCGTCGCAAACGCCATGCTCTGCCAACTGAGCTACCTCCCTGCCGGCCATTCCCTCCCCTACCCTGGGCCAATTGTGCGCCGCCCCATTGGTCTCCCGGTTGCGGCCGGCTACAGCAGAGCCTGGATTCGAACCAGGATCTCTAGTGGCACAGCTAGCACTGCGATGCAGTGCCTTAGACCACTGCGCCACTCGGGAGAGAGAGAGCGAGAGAGAGAGAGAGAGCGAGAGAGAGCGAGAGAGAGAAACACAAACAGACCCCACAGAGCCCCAGGCCTCACCCTACTAGAATCTGAAGTAAAATGTCTAATGTTTGCTGATGATCTGGTGCTTCTGTCCCCAACCAAGGAGGGCCTACAGCAGCACCTAGATCTTCTGCATAGATTCTGTCAGACCTGGGCCCTGACAG